TGGTAAACACACAGCGGTTCCCAGGCTTGACATGTCGCTGCACAGACTCTACCCTCCCTCCATCCATCCCTTGGTGTTCCCACACTGCCTCGTCTGGGTCGCTGAACTATACCCCCCCCCCCCCAACAACACACACACACCATGTAAATACAATCATTTCTGCCCCGCCCTTAAGAGCAACAACACATTCTCACAGGGACCAGCATTCTGAAACTAATGCCTGTCTGTGGATGAAATCCTCCACGTATATGATGGAGTGAGAGGAAGGAGAGCGGGGAGTACAGCTGAAGGACAGGGAGCAGAGATGGGAGAGGGGTCCCTTAGGGCCCGGACCGCTGCGTCATGGGGCCTGAGAGGGGACCCTTGACGGGGGCCCCCTAGTTACTCGGGACATGGGCCATCCTTCAAGCGGGTGACAACAGTGCATAAACAAACGACTAACCTCATCGGCTCTGTGTTTACAGCCCCGAGATCGAGTTCTGGACGACTCATTAACACCAGGGACCTTCGGAAAGAGCCATCTAAGGGGGGCGGGGGGGGGTGGGGGGGTTCTCCCAACGTAAGACAGGAGGAAAGTCAACGACATGTCAGACAGACGGGGGCGTTGATAGATGGCCGGGGTCACCTGCCCCCCCCCGCCACCACCAAACTCACCAACACACACGCAGACAGACGCTCACTTGTGCCCCCAAAACACAACCGATACGCCACAAAGGCAGCGTGTGTGTTTCAGCATATGTGTCTGTGAGATGCTTTACACCTGGTTCGACTGCTTTCCTATAAGCTTAATGCTTAATGTGCATGTCCGCTGCTTTGTCCCCACTCTGATCACATGATCTTTGCACATGTAGGACTTCTCACAGTTCCATATGACTTCCAGTGCAAGGGGCCATTTTACACAGTCACTTCCGGCAATAGCGAGCACATAAATTGCAAAGGAAATGTTACCAGCGAAAGATTTCATCTTACAAGGCCAGGAAAACAAATGCCTACGTTATGCAAAAATAGTGAACCAGATCATGTTGTAAAAAAACACTCCTTCTTTCCCCCCTCAAACAAAAACAATCAAGTACTGGAGCTTTTCGGGTTTGAAGATATGCCTCAAATAGCAACTGATGTGGTATTTGGCTACGATTTGATCATCAGTCAATGCAACTTCCATAAAATAAAAAAAACATGAATCCATCATGAGACACGTGCCATTTATTTGCACCCATTTGCATCAGGTAAGAACACAGAGAGGAGTAAGCTCCCTCATTGGGTCTCTGTGACTCTTGACCCAGGAGGCGATATGGAACATTTGCATACGCAGCTTTGGCACCAAGCGGAGCGCGCGGAGCGCACGCACGCAAAGAGCACCGGCGGACAACAAGGGCGGTTTAATGGGGTCTCTATTTCACTTTCCCCGCGTCGGCCCGCTCCCTCTCGCCTTTCAAATGGGCCGATCTATTAACTGTTTTAATGAGCTCCGCCAGACAAACGCGGGACGCACGGCCCATTGCACACCGCGAGGAGGAGGACGACGCACGGAGACACGGAGCCGCTGACGGACAGCGAGACCTCGAGGCGGGCGAGGCCTCCCCCCCCCCTCTCTCTCTCTCTCTCCTCGCGTGCCGATCAGCCAATGGGTCAGCTATGCAACTAAAAAGTAATATGAACCTCATTTTTGGAGACAGGCCGATCAATGAGTGATGACTGACTAAATATTGTGGTAAATGTGAAAAATGGTTAGCAAGTGGACGAGTGTGTGCGGACACACTGGATACGCTCCATTGCCACTTGTTAAGCTTCCAAATACTTCTAATGGAACTTTGCTTTTGATCTCCACATGCGTGTTTCACACCGTGGATTTAACGGCTCGAAGCTCTGTGATGTCACTGGTCACGTGCTGTAATCATCCCCAACAAATTATCAAACATCTCTAAGCACGTTGTAATCAACGTTTTTTTTTTTTTTATTGAGACACGAATAAGCTAAGCGGACCTTTTTAATGAGACCTACGCCAAGCGGGGTTTGGATCATCAAAGTCACCCCCCTTCCCCCTCCCGTAGCCCACAATCCACCGCGGGGTGCGGCCTGCACGCCTCGGCTATACTTAGTTGGGAAGCAAAGATTTTTGTGGCGCACCGCATTGCATCTGGACGCGCGGACCAATCAGTCAACCTCCATCAATCACTCTTACGTTTACCAGCTCTCCATCACCTCCTCGATTACATCCACCGTGCGCCCCACGTGCCCCCACCTTCTCTTTTCCTTTTTTTCTTTTCTTTTTTATCACACGACTGTTCTGCGAGGAGCCCCCCCGTGCATGACCGGTTTATACCACGACTCCTCCGGACAGGCGGGACGCGAACACCGAACGCATTGACCAGCATCGCCCTTATGCGGCGTCTGGGAATTTAAATATTCACTGTTGACACTGTGCAGGCCTGGCTTGGGTCCAGAGCGGGCCAGCCACTCGGGGGACACGGACCCCCCCCCCCCCCCCCCAACAGATTCAGGTGAGTCTGTTCTCCCTCTGCCGTGCTGAAACTTGAGCCTCCGCTTATTCTCTTAAAGTGAAAGAGGTCAACACAACAGTATGTTCCACGCTCTGCTTCCAATCGGGGCCAGACTAAAGATTAATATAGTGCATGTGAAAACACGCCCATTCCAACAAGTTTGGCTGTGTAATAATGCAGAGGTCTTCAACAGGGGGTCCGCGGAGGTACTGTAGGCGGGTCGTGAAATCTTTGGTTGATAAGACAATTTTTTTTTTTCAACCTTTTTTTTTCCCACAAATTTAAATGTCTTCAGAATCAGAATTGTATTTATGGTCTTTAAATACACATTAACATGAATCCAACATGTTGTAGCGAATGGATGAATTGATGGAGAAGACGTTATCTGTCAGTGCGCAACGCATACATTCAGCTACACACAGCGGCTCTCAAGCTGCACACCGGTTCACTCACTGCTCCTTTCATACAAATACGACAGCGCAGGCACCAGCCAATCAGATCGCCTTTATGCTCACGTCTAAAGAGCGCGAAGCTCAAAAATAAAAGCTGGCAGACCAAACTGCGTAGAATAGGAGGTCCCTGCTCCATCTCGCCATCAGTTTGGGGGCCCCTGTAATAACGTATAAACAATTATTATTATTATTTATAGGTATAAAATAGAAAACCTT